GTAAAAGCGCAGTGCTCTAAAGAGAGCACTCCGGGGGCACGGGCTCTGGGGGGCTATATATATCCATAAGATACTTAAAATATTTTTTGTATTTAAAACCAAATAGATCCTTAAAAGCCCTATTAAATTTTATTTAAAAAAAATGCAAAGTAGATTCGGCCCAGGGCAGTTTGGCAGTGGGAAGTAGGTCTTAAACAAAGTCCTCCATCTTCCCAGGGTAGCTGTAAATAAAAAGGAGCAAGATAAAATTTGTATAAAATAAATGAAAATAAGTGCTAGGGTTGGATTAAGAAAACTTTTAGTAATGAGTACATGAGCTGACTTTATTATGTGGAGGAGACAGGTGGGTGGTGTGTCAAACAGGTGTGATGCCTGTGAAGCCACAGTTTGAGACCAACAAACAACAAAACTGGTTGTGTTTTAGTTAGTCATCCCTGCATTTCCAGACAGGATAGTGCCCCCAGAACTAGGTATTTTAAGCTCATACATGATCTTTTACTAACCATAACCAAGTGGTTTTAGTGCCTAAACCTAACCACTTTAACCACAGCGTTGTTGAAATGTAAAGTTTCACCATATTCACCACATAATAACGTACAAAGGTAACAGATCCACGGTTTGAGAAACAGTACAATGCTAATATTTCTTAACGGTGATTGGGTTGATTAGTTGCCTTCCCTTGATTCAGCTCGTACTTATATAGCAAATCTAGTCTGAAGGCCCTGACACACCAAGCCGATGGTTGGCCTCGACCAAAGTCGGGCCGTCAGTGAGCATCTGTCGGCACTTTGGCGTCGCCGGCTTTTCGGCTGATTGAGCATGTTGAATCGGCGGCAGAGCTTGTTGGTGAGAGAGATCACATGACCGGAGGGAAGCACAGCCAGTTAGCCTCTGCTAGCCTCCCAGCTAGCCCCAGCTCTCCGTTTGAATCCAAACGGAGAGCCAGGGCTAGCTGGGAGCGGCTAGTGGAGCGTTAGCCGCAGCATGACCAGAGGGAAGCACAGTCAGTTAGCCTCCGCTAGTCTCTGAGCTAGCCCCAGCTCTCCGATCCAACCGGAGCACCACTGCGGAGGAAACACTGGGACCGTCTGGATGTAATAGTCCGTGGAGGTGCTGTGGTGCTCTGCTGCACAGATAGGAAACTCCTCGGCTGAGAGGATGTACCACTTTCTCACTCCGCTCTCTCTCACGCAGGCGCAGAATGTACGTGCTACTTGGCCGTCAGATGTAGTCCTTGTTGTTTGTTCAAATGCAACTGACACAGGGCGACGTGAGGTGAAGTGAGGCGACATAGACGATGCAACAGTTGGCTTTCGTCGCCGCTAGTTCTTTGATGTCGGTTTGGTGTGTTCGTACCTTTACAGATTTACAATAAAATACATTGTGATAGCTTTTATATGTAAAATCAGGTATAATACTTACCAAGGAAAGCTCTCCTCTCATGCTCAGTTAGTTCATCAAAAACCTCCCAAAACATCTGTATGGTGGGGTGTGGTGGTGTGGTATTGAACTCCCCCTCATAACCTGTGTTCTAATTACAGTGAAGTTGACTGTTACGATTACTTATATTATAGACTTTTACAATTGTTTGTAACATTTAAATCAATCAATCAATCAATCAATCAATTTTATTTATAAAGCCCAATATCACAAATCACAATTTGCCTCACAGGGCTTTACAGCATACAACATCCCTCTGTCATTAGGACCCTCGCAGCGGATAAGGAAAAACTCCCCAAAAAAAACCCTGTAACGGGGGAAAAAATGGTAGAAACCTCAGGAAGAGCAACTGAGGAAGGATCCCTCTTCCAGGACGGACAGAAGTGCAATAGATGTCGTACAGAACAGATCAGCATAATAAATTAACAGTAATCTGTAAGACACAATGAGACAGAAAGAGAGACAGAGAGAGAGAGAGAGAGAGAGAGAGAGAGAGAGAGAGAGATGCAGGACAGACGGTAATGACAGTAGCTTACAGCAACATTAATGAAAGTAATAATATTATAGTTATAATTCTGGCTACTGTGGTACAATATCTTGAAAGTATATATTAATATCTGGCAGTATACATGTGTGACAATAGTCATATGTGTATAATAACTGTAGAAGTATGACTAATGACTAATGATGGCAGCAGCAGCAGGAGGCATCTGGCAGGACCACGGCAGCAGCACAACCACACACGTCACGCTATCCAGGCACTGCTGCGATATGAGTTAATCTTAGTTTGTCTCAGAGGCTTCAGAAGGACTCCCAGCTCCTCTGTCTGCTGGTGCTGCGAGAGATCACTGGGGGCGGGGAAAAGTGCGAGGGGGTCAGCAGTCATTCAGTTTGTTGCCCTAGTAACCCGTTTCCACTGAAGGGGGGGGCTGGAACTACTACAGGAACATCCTTTCGCTCGGCCCTCTCAACCGCCATGTCTCCACTGAGAGAGCGGAGTCGGAGGAAGGTTTCTTGGTGTCCTTCTGCGTCTTCTTCTTCTTGTGTAACCTTGTGTGTATTGGCGGTTAATACAGCATTACCACCACCTAGTGGATTGGAAGTGCATTACACCTATAATGGGCTTTTAGTGGGAAAAATAGCTCAAATGTGACCCCCAGTGGTAAAATTAGGTATATAATTCAATATATCGGTTCGGTTAGATATTTGGCTTTAAATCAAACCAGTTGGAAAATTTTCAAACCGGCACAAGCCTATCTTCCAGTCCTAAAAACTCTACTTATAGTAGCAGTTTGGCTGCCCTAACGGATTGCTTTGAAGATATTAGGTTTTGGATCCCTTACTGTCAGCTTAATCAGCAAAAGACTGCATTAAAATGTTTGCAGATGATAAAGTCCTTTTTTTAAATAGGTGCTGATTATAGAGTTACAAAAGTAAAGACAGATTGTTACGGCCGCCGCTCTTTCCACCTCCATCGTGTGTGTGTGTATGCAACACTAATTTTTCCCTCTGTGTGCCGAGCTGCCTACACCTCCACTGGACTCAGAAGCTCCACCTCCTCTGTTCTGATTGGTGCGGCCTCTGCTGCTTCTGACTGCACAGTCCACAGCTCACCTGGGTCCCTGATTGGTGCGGCACAGGTGCAGTGGACCAATCCNTGTTCTGATTGGTGCGGCCTCTGCTGCTTCTGACTGCACAGTCCACAGCTCACCTGGGTCCCTGATTGGTGCGGCACAGGTGCAGTGGACCAATCCCACCCATTCAATCAAGACCGTCATCTATAAGTGCCCTGCCAGTCTGCTAGTCGGGGCGGCTGACTGTTGGTGGCAGCTTGCCTCTTTGCTTGAAAACTTTGTGTTGTGTTGGTTAGCCCACTCATAGCATTTGTAGCTTGTCATAAGCTTTTGTAGATTTTTGTGAACTTTTGAAGTGTGGCCAGGTTGTTAGAAATTGCTATCCTTTTGACTGACTCCAAACATTTCCATCCACACTTAGACAATTACTGTATAGAGACACTAGGTGCAGGGGTGCTGTTTTGTTGTTGTTTTTTTAAAAGCTGCATTAGACAGTCAGAGTTTGTTTTCCCTTTTATTTTTGATTAGATAGATTGTAGATTAAACTCTGAGTGAGTCCTCCTTTTGTTATTTGTTTTTGAGTTAAACAGCACCCACCGGCCCTCTTCCTTGGTTTGTTCTCAGTCTTTGTTAACCAGACTTCCTTCATTTGAGTTGCAATAAACTGCCTTACCTTTTAACATCTGGGCTTTTGTGTTGCTTCCCTTTCCCCTGCGAGCTGGGTTGTAACACAGATGAACTGAAATGAAATAACAGCATGAGTAACATTCTCCAGGTCAAAGGAAGAAATAAATACTTTGATTTAACACACATCTCTTAACAGGTAAAAGACCTGTGATTCGTGATTTTTTTTGTTTTTTTTTTACAGAGGGGTTATTCAATCTTGTTTTTATCAGTTAAGAAGTACATTAACTTTGCTGTCTCTCATGTCCTTTATTTAAGAGGGCTTTTTAAAAAAAACAGCTGAGAAAATGCAGCTTACAGTAAGGGTCAAAACTGAACCTTAGGCCCAAGCCTTTCAAAACATGGGGTACATGCACACAAATAAGCTGTGTCTTTTTTCACTCGCTTTCAAAGCAAAATGCACACGCTAGCCAGGTCAAAATCATTACTACATGAGGTGGTGTTGCTTTAGAAAACTCAGTCTTTATTTTTGTCAACTCTACTGCTTTTGTCCACAGGGCACAACAAAATCAACACAAAATGAAACTTCCTTGAAGTTGCTTTAAATGACTAAATTATTATGTCTCTGGGTTATATTTTCCGGTTGTAGGTATGCCTGTACGTCCCATTCTTGTGACCCCATGTGAACTTTGGCACAAATGTCCACTTGGACTCAACAATGAACTGATTAGATTTTGATGGTCAAGGTCACTGTGACCTTGCATCTGTTGAATTCTTGGGAACGTGAAATCAAAGAACATCTTGAGGGAATTTCTCCAAATTTAGCATAAACATCTACCAAAGCTCAAGGATGAAGTGATTAGATTTTGGTGGTCATAAGTCAAAGGTCAGTGTGAATGTGACCTTGCATCCATCTCATTCTTGATATCTCTCTTGATGTCTAATCCTGGGAGTCCACTTTAAAACTGTGCTGACTGTGTACTGTAGCTCTCCTGTGCTGCCGGGGGGGGAAGATGTGTGTGAAGCATCCAAGTTTTTACAGACATGGATGTAAACTGTAAGAGAAACTCGACAGGTGCGCGGAGGCATACAACCACAGTGAGGTAATTTGAGTGTTTTTTTTATATTTCTCTATAGTATTAGCTTTTTAATTTTTTTGGGTGTCAACTAACCTCAGAAAAATGGTCACAAATATATGTAAGACCCCAGATTTTCTGTTACATACAGTAATGTATTAAAAGTGCATGTTTATTTATGGTGTACAGTGTACTCATATATAAAATGAGCCTATTAAATGGTTTCTTGAAGTCATAGTAAAATGACAAAACACAAAAGAAAGTAAAAAAAGTACACACATGGTCCTTACTTATTTTGAACTGTCACTGGCTTCTCAGGATTTTCAGGATCAAGCGCAACCTTTGTCCCATCCCAGGGGATCTGTTGATCAGGTATGAGAAAGAAAAAGATTGTGACATCACTGCTTTGGAAAATGATAACAGATTGTCAGCTGGATATCAGAAAAAGGATAAATGAGATAAACTATTGAATATCTGTAAAACACATACAAAAAAATCCACATAGAGGTTTTCTATGACATCATCTTCCTAGTCTTCCAGGATGTTCAGCAGACTCCTTGAAACACAATAAAAGGAAAAATATTGAACTTTGAAGATGTTTTGCAGTTTTTAAAGTATGCTATGAGAAATCAGCACCAATAAAAAAACCTTTACACATCAATTTCCTCTTACTCTCCAACAGATGGGCTGAACTCTATCATATCGCTCAGTGAAGGCTTAACACCCAGCAGTTTCTTGAACAGAGCCAGTGGGAAGGGTAAGTGTATGATGCACTTGTTGTACAAAGCCAATCCACACAGAACTCCAAACTGGAAGTATCGCTGGTCCTCTTGTTTTGGCTGCTGTTGATGGAAGAGACAATTAATATCAGAAAAACAGAAAATAGGATGATCATTTCTTCTGAGGTAGGACCTTGAGAACTGAACTGATTATTATTTCATAATTACGTATTACCATCAAAAGGAAAACCATTAAGTTTTCCTGTGTCTTACTTTGGAGGGGAACCATGCCAGCGTTTTAGAGTCGTTGAACATGAACATCCCAGAGTCAGCTGACACCATCTCGTGAAACACTTCATAAAAAAAGTCTTTCATGTAGAGTGGTATATCATCATCATCATCATCATCATCAAAGTTTTCAGCCCAATCAACCTAGAAGACGAAAGGGCACAACATTTTCCTGCTGGTCAAGAAGCTTACACAAAAGTAACACAGCAACACAGTTTTTTAGTGTGACTTTAGCAATCAGATCAAATCGACATTTTTACCACAAGCGGAAACTTGTAGTGACTGTGATGAACAGCAGCTAGTTGTTTAAAGGTGTCCTCCAAAACTGATGCTCGTCTCACGTCCAGTTTTAAGAACAGGTCCTGATGCAGCGGGCGAATGGAATCCAATTCCTGAAACAATTCAAATAATTTGCTTTTCCTTGCCTCAAGTTTGAGATTTCATTTCATTTTATTGTTGTGTAACTGACAGCAAACTTCACTGAGTCTTGCAGGGAGAACAAGTAATCTATTATACTGCAATTAACACTAAGTAACAAAACACAACATGGCTGCTTGAAGATTTCTCGACCCAGACAGTATTGTGTGTAGAGGCTTGCTCTCATGAGGCACAGTTCAGGGCTTCATACCTTGGTGTAATTAACATTCAAGTCAAAAACAAATTTCTTTGACTCCAGATCCATCACAGTTGGAAAGCTACAGAGGATAAGCGGCTCAGCATGCCCATTCTACAAGGAAAAAAAAACAAGCATGTTAAAGACAATCATTGAAGATCACAGATTAATGACTGGCCAGAGGCTGAAAAGTGACACGGACAAAGATGGAGACAGACGGACTTTAGCTCACAAACTATTTAGCCACGTGTTGTTGTTTTTTTACCTCGCCTTTTGACTGCAAACGCCAAAGCCATAGATCCTCCTGAAGAAAGTCTTTCTCAATAGACAAACAGAAATCACTGTCTGGCATTTTTTGAGGTTCTGCAATCCTGCTGTTGGCCTTTAAAACAAGTTTTTCATTTATTAGGTGAAACGTTCATCAAAGTAAAAAGCACGAAAGAAGGATTACTGATTTAGAATTATGCTGTAAGATTACATCTTATAATTGATACTAACATTGTACATGTACTGGAGGACTAGCAGCAGTTTTCTGACTCCAGAGTTGCGGGGAACACACTCAGAAGACAGGATCATGGACAGGGCCTGCTTCCACACATTAACATGTCTAACCATGGTGAAGGGCGACAGTGAGGACCACCAGTCCCCTGAAGAAGACAACATGGAGATTTGCAGACATTAGTCGCAGGAAACATTTCATAACTGAGTGGATGTCAAGGACATACCTTTGACCTATTTAAGTTATTATCCTTGATTTTCAGTGTTGGTTGATTTGGTGACACTTACTGTTACCAGGGTTACAGCAAGTGTGGTTTCATTACACTCAGGCAGTTTGTTTGTCAGGAATACCACAGAAGTGCAGCTGGTGTATTTATACACAGTCCAGCTCCAAAAAAACTCACATTGCTTTCAGTAATCAAGATGTCGGTCAATAATAATTACAACTGCAATCTGATTTCATGCTGCACACAGCTTGAGTAGTTTTACCCACAACAACAGGCCACAGTACAGTTGGTTATCCTACTGAGGAGTTGGAGGTGTGCAGCCTGTCGTCTCCTCCTTCTGCAATATTCATTCCATGTATTTACATTCAGCAAGTAGTTCTTATTGGTAGTATATAGTGGCGGAGTCCGCCATGTGTTGTCTCTGGATCGCCTACCAGAGCATGGTAGGACGAGCATGGCACTCTTAACTGTTAATGCTCTTTACAATGTGTCAGAGCTATTAAGTAAGTGCCATTACTACTGTTTCTACACACAAGTAGCACGCGCACGCACTACTTGCGATGAGAAATATATACTGCATTTCCTGTGACAGCTTCTCAATAGTTTTTCCTGTTGTAATCTCAAGAAACAGCAGCAATGGCAGTAACATAACACAGCTCTGACAGGATGTAAAGAGAGTAAATAATGCATGCATAATTTCCTGTGTATTCCTCACACCACTACCAATTATAACTTATGTCTGATTGTAAATACATTGAATGAGGACTGCAGAAAATATGCCAACAATAACTTTTAATAAAAATGGGGTTTGATTTCATTAAAAACTCAAAGATTCAACTTTAATATGTAATATTATATATTTAATGTATTTATAATATATTATTAAAAAAAAACAAAAAACAATAACATAAAAATAATGATGATGTGACGTGTGGTGGTGACAGTACCTATGACCTGCAGGCTGTCAGCAGACAAGTTTAGTACAGCAGCAGCGACCGCCTCAGCGAGCTGAAGTAAAGATAATGCACAGAAACGCTATGTTTACCTTTGCTCAAGAAAGCTTGCATTCACACAGGATGCAGAGGAAAACATCTTGTGAATTTGCCTGCAAAGATTCAACAGTTTTAGTCCACTGCACTGAGAAAACAGGGTTAATAGCTTTTGATCCAGATGAAAAACAAATGAATTAGAGTCATAAAACATTCGGCTATTTAACATACTGAAAACTGCAGATGCAATACACTTACTGTTTTATCTTTTTCCATGACTTTAAGTCACATTCAGAGATCCATTTGTCAATCATGTTGTCGAGACAATGCTGTGTTACATTGTTGAAACCATCAGTGTTTGACTCCTCATGAATGTCCTGTGAAATAAACAAGATGAGATGAGGTTCACATCATTATAACCCCAACCATCATGGTCTGCACCGTGTGTATGTGTGCATCATTAGATGTGCATGTTGCAAATGAACAGTTTCCTCCTGCGAAGATGTTTCTAATTTTAGCATCATCAGTGGTGTCTGAAATAATAATGGATAAAGTGTAAGTTCTTTTGTGAAACCATTCAATGCATTCACATGATTTATTTTACTTATCTAGTTACCCTGTGGCAGTTGAACAGGTAGCGGCACAGATGGATGACTCTCCTCTCCATGTCCCAGCTGCCCCTGCTCTCCACACCCAAAGGAGTAGACCTTCTTTGAGTCCGTCAACACTAATGTGTGATGTCTGAAGAGGTGATATATTACAAACAGCATTTTAATTTCATCAGAGACATGAATGCCTTTTGATTGACTTTCATATTAGGTTTGATTGGAGCAGCCTCCAGGCCTCTTTAACTACTGCATTATGAAAGGTAATACACTGTATCGTCCACAAGCAATCCTGGTGACCTTTGCCCCCCCAGAACTCGGCAACAAGCCAAGGTCGTAGTTCATCGTTGAATGAGTTGTGCCCAAGCTGTCCATACTGACCGGAGCCAAATGTAAACACTGCACCAGTCTGCACTCTACTTATTTTTTAAATTTCATTTGGTTTTACATCCTGTAACTTTACTGTTTCAGTTAAGTCTAGTTACTCTTATCTTCACTGCTTGCTTAAGTATGCTACAGCTAGCTAGCTAGCTAACCGCTGTCAGGACTACTCACAAGCTAACGTTAGCCACTGGAATGTTTGCTATTTGCCTACGAGCTAACACCACATTTCAGCTGAAAGTGTTGCCTATGGTTGACTTGCTTCAATGTAGGGCTGCAATGATTAGTCGACTAATCAATGACTAATTGACTATTAAAATAATCGCTGACTATTTTAGTAGTCAACTAATCGGTTTCAGTCATTTTTCATTACCTCATTTCATTTTTCAGTACTATAAAAGTACTCCAAAATACTCTTATTGCAGCTTCTTACGTTCAAAGCGGCTTTACACTCTCTCCCATAACGGTGAACTAAAACCCTTTGGCGTGAGTACGAAACAAGACATTAGATGACATAATTTGGGGTTTGGGAGAGACAGGCCGACATTCTTTAACATTTTAACACATTTTTCAATAAAATGATTAGTCGACTAATCGAAGGAATAATCGACAGATTAGTCCACAATGAAAATAATCGTTAGTTGCAGCCCTACTTCAATGTTTTAAAGATGAAGTATTTAACGTTCCACACTAATATTTTCACCACAGGGGCCTTCAAAAATGGCCACTGGATTAAATGATGAATCATTTAAAACCTATTACATCATTCCATTTGTATACAGGTTTTATTTGGTGAGTAAATTCATAGAATAAGAGTCTTTTTCCAGCAATAAAATGTGTGTGGTTATTGTTTACAACATCATTATATTTAAAAACTTTCCATTAACGTTTAATGTGATATCTAAAACTGCAATAAGTTACAAAGGACCAGCTGAGGAAAAATAACAAATCAGGAATCAAACCTTTGTCAAAACAGCAGTGTGGTCCTTTCCACAGGAGATGTGAATAGATTTCTTCATGTTCAGACAATGAACAGGAGTCGGTGTATTTCTGTCTACAGAGACAAAATTAACCTTCAGGTTTACATGTCATGGAAATACTGCAGTATAAATAAGTTTGTTATTGTTTAAAGAAATCATCTTTAAAGATAAAGGTGTAAAAGAGACAAGTTGAATAAAGAATCAAGTAAAGCAAATAGAAATCTAACTTGTTCCTACTGTACCTTTTGTGTCTCCCAGCCCAGGCTGTCCACAGTTGTTTCTGCCCCAGCCGAACACACCTCCAGAGACAGAGAGGGCGAAGCTCTGCTCTCCCCCTGCAGCAATCTGGACCAGGGGTATCGCTGACAGAGATCGAAGGTGTTGGGGTGAACTGGCGCCGAGCTTCCTCCTCCCCAGACCCAGCTGGCCCCTGGAGTCCTGGCCCCATGTGTACACCTGACCATCTGCAGAGAAATCACCATGACTCTGTTAGCTCAGTAGTGCAGTCTACAAAACTGTGATCTGCTTTGTCAAACACTTTCCTGACATCAGCCACTGCTGGTGCATAATTTATTTTCTTCTACACAAAAGTTAAAAATTTACAATATCTTGTCATATGTCAATACACTGACTTATTCAATTCTATGTAGTGGATGCTGATAGTATAAACATCAAATTTGTTTGCTTTTTTCCTATGGCTGTGAAGGGCCAAATGAGCTGCTCCTGTGATAGCAATGACGATCCTAATAAACTCTTAAAGGTGAAGTGTGTAAATTTAGGAAGATTTGGTGGTGTTTGGTGGTGACTTGCAGATTGTATCCAGCTAAACTTCTTCCAGCTAGAAGATCAGTCAGCGTTAATTGTTTGAGAGTTTTTTTTGGGAGCCAAATTATCTGCAGAGGTCTCTTACTCTCCAAAACCAAGTGATTTAAAAGCAGCTTCACGTTACAAACCAGTGAAACTCTGAGACTCTGCTTGTTGCAGAGGGGCTACGAACACAGGAGCCGACGGGAAAATGTGAATGGCCCTGTCTGGAGCTAGAATTTGGTTTGTCAGTTTTGACAAAATATAAACGCCTCATTCTAAGGTAAGGGAAACACAACAATTCTTAGTTTCAGGATATTATACAGTTATGAAAACCTAGCTATTAACATTATATTCCATTTGTACCAATACATCCCCCTCAATCATAACCACTGGACCTTTAAAGGGTCACTACACCCAAGTTACACTAAAAAAAAAACCTCTAAGCACTGAGCATTTCTTATTTAAGTGAGAAAAAACAGCTTTATATAAAATCTAGCAACATCTTTTTCTGAAAAAATCTAACAAACAACAAAAAAACCCCAAATCCACACACATATTTGTAACTGTTTAAAGATCTAGTGTGTAGAATTTAGTGGCATCTAGTGGTGATGTTGCAGATTGCAACCAACTGAAACTTCCCCTGTGAGCATGTAGGACAGGAGTGGCTGACGCCAAAAATGCGAATGGCCCTATCTAGAGCCAGTGTTTGGTTTGTCCGTTCTGGGCTACTGTTGAAACAACATGCAACAAGAGGACCCCCTCTGTGTGTAGATGTAAAAGTCTCATTTTAAGGTAATGAAATTACACATTTTTTTCAGGTGTCTATACACTAATTAAATCATAGGTGTAAATTTGATATTCCATTTGCGCCAATATATCCACCCAAATCGAGCCTGGTCTCACTCTGAAGTTGTCAGAGTCGGCGCATGGGCAGTAACTCGCGGCGTCAGATACCAAAAAAAAAGGGCACCCTTTTTCGTCGGCATGAAATGCAGCCAGTTGCTGTAATAGTTTAATGGTGCCAGGCAGCATCGGGGGAAACACGGCAGGCCAAGGAGGAAAGTTAAGGTGACGAAAGTCCTATTGGGGTGGGTGGGAGGGATGAGGGAGGGAATACGTCCCATAAAAAGCCAAACTCTGCTCGTTTTTCCTAAACCTAACCATGTGTCTTTGTTGCCCAAACCCGACCATATGTGTTTGTTGTTGAAGGAAAAGAATTGCCAATTTGCAGTGTTGTACCGTCATAGTGAGTTGATTTTGAAAGCGACTGTATGTAAACATTAAATTTCCTGTGAAAACAGAAGTGTATCTTGAAAGAAGACAATGCATGTAACAGGCAGAACTTGACACGGTGTCCAAGAACGTCAACAACTAATGCACCCAGGGTTCCTTGTACGTCGTATGTGGACTTGGAAAGTCCATGACCAGAACGTCAATATGTGACAAGGTCGGAGTGAGAATGTGTTGCCTAAATCATACATACTGGACCTTTAATACTCTGAGGACCACACATAGAGTTGTATTCATCCCCATTGTTTTTGGGTGGAGACAGAACGCTCAGATATAAATATCTCCCAACCTTGACGCATAAAACCACACCTATTTGCATGACTGGATACCAGATCTTGAACATCAGTAGCAGTTTACGATGCACTTTACTGTACCTTTGGTCAGGGCGACTGAATGCTGGCTCCCACAAGCAACCTGAGATACCACTATGTTACACATAGCTTCCACAGGCCTGAGAGAAACAGAGACAGAAAACAAAAGAGCTCATATATTTAACTCAGAGCTGATTAACATGAATCCATGTCAAGTTTTTTTTTAAGAGTCATGTTTTACAAAATCTTAGTTTCTCCTTACCTAGGAATGTAAGTGTGAGTTGTGTCCACACAGAGAACTTTCCCTGTCTCAGACAGCAGTGTGACCAGATCATCACCACAACTCACAGCCTCAATCTTCTCCTTAAACTTC